CCCAGGACTGAGCCCTGGGGGACACCACTAGCCACAGGCCTCCAACTTGACTCTGCGCCATTCACCACAACCCTCTGAGCTCGGCCATCCAGCCAGTTCTCAATCCACTTCTCTGTCCACTCATCCACCCCATGCTTCCTGAGTTTGGTACCTATGGGGATGTGATGGGAGACAGTGTCAAAAGCCTTGCTGAAGTCCAGGGAGACAACATCCACTGCTCTGCCCTCATCTACCCAGCCAGTCATTCTGTCATAGAAGGCTATCAGATTGGTCAAGCATGATTTCCCTTTGGTGAATCCATGCTGACTACTCCTGATCACCTTCTTGTCCTCCAGATGCTTAGTGATGACCTCCAGGATGAGCTGTTCCATCACCTTTCCCGGGATGGAGGTGAGGCTGACAGGCCTGTAGTTTCCTGGCTCCTCCTTCTTGCCCTTTTTGAAGACTGGCGTGACATTGGCTTTCTTCCAGTCCTCAGGCACCTCTCCTGATCTCCAGGACCTTTCAAAGATGATGGAGAGAGGCCTAGCGATAACATCCGCCAGCTCCCTCAGCACTCGTGGGTGCATCCCATCAGGGCCCATAGATTTGTGGATATCAGGTTTGGACAAATGATCTTTAACCCAATCCTCCTCGACCAAGAGCAAGTCTTCTTTTCTCCTGACTTTCTCTCTTGTCCCCAGGGTCTGGAATTCCTGAGGACTGGCCTTAGCAGTGAAGACTGAAGCAAAGGCGGCATTCAATAACTCTGCCTTCTCTGTATCCTTTGTCACCAGGGCACCCGCCCCTTTCAGCAGCGGGCCCACGTTTTCCCTAGTCTTCCTTTTGCTATTGATGTATTTGAAGAAGCCCTTCTTGTTGTCCTTGACATCCCTTGTCAGATTTAATTCCAACTGGGCCTTAGCCTTCCTTGTTGTATCCCTGCACGCTCTGACAATGTCCCTGTATTCCTCCCAAGTGGCCTGTCCCCTTTTCCACATTCTGTAGACTTCCTTCTTCTGCTGGAGTTTTGCCAGGAGTTCCTTGCTCATCCGTGCAGGTCTCCTGCCCGCTTTGCTGGACTTCTTCCTCCGAGGGATGCACTGATCTTGAGCCTGGAGGAAGTGACGCTTGAATATTAACCAGCTTTCTTGGACCCCTCTTCCTTCTAGGGCCCTACCCCAGGAGATTCCCCTAAGTAGGTCCCTGAAGAGGCCAAAGTCAGCTCTCCTGAAGTCGAGCGTTGCAATCCTACTTATTGCCCTGCTCCCTCCTCGTAGGATCCTGAACTCCACCATCTCATGGTCACTGCAGCCAAGGCTGCCCCCAACCTTCACATCTCCAACTAGACCTTCTTTGTTTGTTAGTACAAGGTCTAGCATTGCACCTCTCCTCGTTGGCGTCTCCACCACCTGAGTCAAGAAATTATCATCAATGCTTTGCAGGAACCTCTTTGACTGTTTGTGCCTAGCTGTGCTGTCTTCCCAACAGATGTCAGGGTGGTTGAAGTCTCCCATGAGAACCAGGGCCTGTGATCGTGAGGCTACTTCCAGCTGTCGGTAGAAGGCCTCATCGATGACTTCCTCCTGGTCAGGTGGCCTGTAGTAGACCTCCACAACAGTGCCACCCATGATAATCTATAGCTTACCCAGCTTGTTTTGTTTAGCAGGCCTTACCTTATACTTAAATTAAAAATATCAAGTTTCCTTCAACAGAAGATTAAAAGTCAGTAGATCCTTCCTCTGGGTAGGAGAAAAAGAACTCTTAGCCTACTCTGCAGACAAAGGAAAGCAGAGTACTCATTTCATCAATCTGTGTTCTCTTTGTCTGTACAGGACATAGCTCATATTGTTTATCACTGGAAGAAGTTTTAAAAAGATTTTTAAAAGTATGTTTTCCAAATGATAAACTCTGAAAACAGAACCTAGGCATTTAAACACTTACTATATCTTCGGTTAGGTCAGAGATATTACATAAAATTAATAGAAACAACCAACTTCAATGACATAAGCGTAGAGTAGCCCCCCTGCCTTTATAGGCAATGTAAGCTATCTAGACTGACAATTTTGTGCCTTTATGAAACAGGTAACAACCCCTTTGAACTTACAGTAGTCTTGGCCACTTTCTGTCCCATGAACTGAAGTAAAGCGCTTGGCAGCTATGAACTCCTGCTGTTCACCTGAAGCATTTCCCTACTGTTTCATCCCTGGTTCTGTACCTGCTGAGCTGCCACCTCCTTACGAAAGTGCTATGAAAATGATAGATAGATTCACCGCTCTTATGTCATGTTTTATTATCCATCATTTAAATTAGCACAAGGAAACTCCAATCAAGTTGAAAAGTTTAAGAAATCAGAAGAAAAATACAGGTTTTCTAAAGCCATTCCCATTTCATCTACCCTGCAGATTACCACGTTATCTCTCCTTGTTACCAACTTCAGTATTTTGGCAAGACCTAGTAAAATGCCTGAACAGACCAAACACCACCACAAACAAAAGAAATGAAAGTCTCATTCAGCCACTATTCAATACCAGAGGCATTTAACTGGCCTTTAACCTTATTCTATATGCAGTCCTTCTTCTGGGAGACAGACAAAACAAGAGAATCCCACACATCCACACAGGGTCAGAAAAGAAACGTGGCCCTGTAGTCTCCTGTAAATGATCAATTGTCTTCCATAATAATGGAACAAATAATTAAAGCCTCCACAACATTATAGTGCATAATTTCATGATTTGAATCGACACTTCCTTGGCAATGTCCACTTACCACCACCGTGTCAAGACACAGGCTGACATATTTTGAACTTATTAGCTTTGCCCCATTAAGTGTGAATCCATAAACCTTATCACAGCATTCATGACAAATAAATGTCAGGTCCAGAGACCTATCAAAATGTCCTCATGTTAAAGTAGCTCGGTCATCAAGTATACTAGAAGATCCAAAACAAAACTATGATTTCACAAGTTTTTTTTTTTTTTCCTTCTTCTTTTTCTCCTCTCTCCAAAATGCCTTTTTTGACTTGCTCTTATGGAACTCTAATTAGCAGCAGCTCAATCTGTCACAGTGGGGAAGTAACAACAGGCTATAATTACTGACTGCAAGCATACATAGCTCGCTCCGCGTGAGTCTTGCCTGCTACTGATCAAAAAGCAACCTAGCTGCTCCTAACAATTTTGACACTCTTTGTACACTTCTACAATACTTGAGGGAGTCATGACCTACAGTTTGAGAATCATGTGATTCCATCATGAAGTAGTGATATAAAAGGTAAAAAATCTTACAGGGTAGCAACCCAAGCACGGCTCTGAATGTACACTCAGCTCAGCATGGGACAGAAGGAAAAAAAGTGCCAAACCCCAATCTCAAAGTAGCACAAGCAGCATGCCGTTATTATTGACTAACTAGATGAATGCATAAAAGTATTTTGCTCAAAAGATTCGTTAGTTAAAATTAATACTTTTTAACCACACAGTAATTTTGATAGTTTCCTGTAATTGATTAAAGATATAAGCAAAACACGGTTTGTACCTAGAAATAATAATCACAAGCAATTTTGGTATACATTCCCTCCTTATTTAAAAAGGAAAATGCAGTGATGACTAACCATTTACAGTGCAAAATTCACGTTTAGTTTTACAACCACTACAAAAGACGAGAAAATGGTATTTCTGGAGTTCTTTAATTAGTTTCTTCTTCTGCTTCAAAGGAATAGTGGGATCATTGTCCATTTCCTGAATCAACGCCAGAAGATACTGATTTGTTTGTTGTTTCTGATCTTCATATTCTTTAGGTGTCAAACGCTGACAGAACGTGAAGCCTTTGTAAGAAACCAGAGGTTCAGATTAAGTTTCATGCACCATGTAAGAGTCTCTACGATTACAAAAATGATCAGAAACACAGGTATGTTGACATTGCAGTTCAGATGCAATTACAGTTCTCTGCAAGTGAGGTGAAATGGACAGCCCTCCACTGAGCATGGATGAACATACAGACGTTAATTGCAAAAATAAAATTGAAGAGCAGTGTTACAAGCGTGAGGTCACACATTTGCAGTGTGTTCAGACTAGAGAATTGAGAGAATCCTAGTTCTCTAGTGTTCAAAGTTCAGTGCTTTGCTTTAAACAGCCAATTTAATTATTTGGCGAATTAGCCACCTGGCCATTTATCTAGTCGCTTCCATGCTCTTCTTGCAGTAAGGAAAGGAATGTATTCTATGTGAAATTGTAGTCAAATACTGATGGTAAACTGATTCGTATAGAACTGTTGCATAAAGAACATGCATCATATCATCTACCTGAATTGATATCCGGATCTTGTCCTTCCAGCAAGCTTTCAAGTTTCCTACTAGTTAGTTCCAGAAGAGTTAAAGGAGTCTGAAAACACAACCCCCCCAGTAACAATAACAAAAAAATGATACTTTTGTATTTTGAGAATCTATGCCTTTTAGATGATCAGTTTAGAAGCACAAAAACTAACTGCAGAGGAATCGAAGGCTACCATTTTTAATCAAGTATACATTCAAAATCTCCACAAAATTGCACTGAAGCACATTTGTTTGGTTATTTCTGAATTTCTGACCACAGAAAAGAGTTACTGTCTCAACACAGAGGCAAGATATTAGGAATCTGGTTAACACTGAACTGCAAAAATTGTAGAGGGCCTTGAACTGATTTCAACTTATAACAAGGCTCAAGTGCAGTTGTGAAAATGCAGCCACCATCCATTCCTGCCATCAATGCTATGGAGCAGTACACACTTCAGTTGTCACATCGGGCTCCCCCTCCAACCACAAATCAAAGCCCTAAGCCCCAAGTTCATTAGAACCCTTAATAACAACAACAACAAAGGTTTGGGCTGCATATTAACTCATACAACCCAGACTCTTTAAACATTTAATACCTCTCAACTAAACCACAACTTATAAAAAAACAAAAAACCCCACAATTCAACAAAAAGCCAAAACAAACAAAAATGCTCCTACATCTCTTAACTTTAGAGGAAGGCAGAAACGTGGAATGTAACTAAAGCAGGCAATAAAATATTTCTCTATATAGCTGAACATAGCTAAATAGGAAGGCTATTTCATTTTGAGGTCTTATTTATTTTCTTTAATTTAGAAATTACTTTTTCAAAATACCAAAGGAGCTCCTGGAGCCGACAAAGCTGTGAATGTGTGCTAGGACACCACAGCATGTTTTTCTATCTACAACTCGGAGTATGTCAGCAAATTTCTAACAGAGAAGGACATTGCAAGATTCCCAAAAAATTTAGTAGAAAGCCAGCAGAAACAAGGTGCCAAAAGGGTTCTATAAGAATTTTTTTGAAATACTCAAAATACTTAATGAAAATGAGGCAAATAGAAAGAGAGGATATTGTATATAACAGATTGTGAAGCTATCAGAAAGTTATCCCCATAGTCTGGAACAGCTTCTGACCCTACTTGACTATACCAGACGTTAACAAGTGGAACATTAAATCCCTCTCCTCCCATCCCCATAAAGCCAATATATAGTACTTAACACTTCAATTAACAAAGTCTGCAAGGTAAAGAAAAAATATATATACCTTGAAGAGTTCAGAGTGATTGTCCATCAGAAACTGAATCAGCAGTTCTGCCTGTGATTTTGACAACGTCTTGTTCTGTAAAATGAACTTCGTACAAGTCTTGATGATCACTGATCTGTTATCAAACTAGGAGAAAAAAGAACATAGATTCGGCATCATATTTACTTGCAGTGCATTAGCCAAAGACTAAATACAACAGGAGGCCTTCAGCGTAGGAAGAACATATTGAAATTTGCTTTAAAACAGATCACATTAGAAGGCAGTAAATAAGATACATTTAACTCCTACTTACTTGTTTTTGTAATTTGTAGCCCTCAGATTCTGATGCAATGGCTAAAAATGCCAGCAGTCTATGCAGTTCTTCTCGGATATTTGGTGCTAATAATCTTAAATAAAGTTGTGATGCCTCTAGAGCTTGTTCTGTTTTTCCTTTTTCTGCAATGAAATAAAATAGAGTATCCAGTGCAATTGTGTTTTCAAAGTCATGAATATGTATTTAAAATATATTTTAAGGCCAATATTATTCCCAGTTTATTTCAACAAGGCAGGTTAACTCAATGTCTTCTAAAATCTTTTGCAAAGATTCAATACAGTATATAATCAGCATACCCTTAAAGCCTTTGTCTATAGCTAGACAGGTAACAGATAAGCTTGGAAAATATCTCCAGAACATTACTATGTTCTGTATACAATGCGCAAGCACTGAAGTGATGTTTGGACCGTTTGTGTTTCCACATCTTTGTATCATAATCCAGGATTCAGCTCAAAGTAATTAGAGATGAACAATTTTATCTTTTTCATTGCTCTGAGGTTCCTCCCCCTGCCCCCAGCCCTTTTTGAAGACGTTCTGAAGGTTTTTTTGAGGAAGAGCAATAAGGTGGAAATAACATCCTACAAAGATCCTTTCAGTTTATACTTCTAGTTATACGAATTTTGAAAGTGATGAACCACCAAGAAGTTAAGTAACTCGCTTAAGGCAAGAGCAACATGGGGGCAGATACAAGAATAGAACCCAGGTGTGGTTTCCTGGCCTCTGTCCTATTATTAGGACTGAGATTAGACTTTACAAGAAATAATCCAGGACTTTCAGGGTTGTGCCATAGGCCTTTTAAATCAAACTTGGTTGGATTTAAAAAGATCGAAAGAGAGAGTAAGTGACCTGCTTGGAAAAGGAGAGCAGACAAAAAGCAAGAGAATGGCAAAAAACATAATCAAGGTGAATAAAAATAAAAAAAAAATCTAGAGATCAAAATATGACGACTCAATTAGTCACATGGGTTACTTTGACTAACTCCACTTGTCCGTTTGATAAGTAACGTAGTCTAAACCTGTTGCTCTGTTTATTTTAGGCAACAAGGCACAGCAGCATGCTTGCCCTTCAAGACATATCTGTATAGTCAGTCATCTTAAATCAAGTTGCTTAAGAATTTATGGATATACTATGTATAACTGTATATACATTGGTAACAAAAAATGAAGTTGTGCTACAGCCGACTGCAACATCTCTCCTCTCTCCAAATTAATTGTGAAAGAGTTCCAAACATGTAGATAATCATGGCTATTTTCAGTTAATAGAGTCAGAATGACAGCACTTTGAAAAAGTGAGTTGTACTGGATTCTACTAGAAAAATACTATTAGAATGCAGGCTGTTATGCACTGACAGCCATAACCAATTCCACAGCCCTAAAAGGGAAAAGTAATTGTAAAGAAGTTAAGCACAATCTTCTTATAACAGTCTAGTGTGGGCAAGAATACAGCTGAGAACAGACTTAAGAACTCAAACTGTAATATATTCAAACGGAGAATCATTCCCTAATGATGAATTTAGGGCTACTTCTTCAAAAGCAAAGTGTTTGTCAGAAACCGTTCACAAGATACTTTTACCCAAGCTGGAAGAATGACAAAATTAAAGAATAAGAAGATGGTATTAAGAATAAGAAAGAAGATAACCAAAGGACAAGTTGTTTAGATTAAGAAGTTATTTAAATAACAAAAGGTTGTACAGGCAGTTACAGCATTAAACTGAATCAGAAGAATTATGGAACTGTCTTTCAAACTGCCCAGAGATTTGACTGTTTTGATTCTCTAGTTTAGCAGTAGCCTCTCACAGTGGTTTATACCAGTTTTGTATTTAAACTACATACTTAAACTAAATAATCTTTAAGGGAACATTTAGCAGAAGTTATCAGCCGCTAAGTCAGTTATTTCAGATTAGCATTCTTCTGTTGGTGGTGGGATACGTAATTTTGCCCTAGTTTCCCTTTCGTGACACCTATTATAATTCCACTTTTTTCTCCATAACAAAATACAGCTGATAAAGTTATTGCCTTTTGTATCTTCATAAGCTCTTGGCCACAGCATCTACCTCTGTTCCAAATGTACATAGGACAACTGCGTTTCTATGCCAGTAAGCTCCACCAAGTTCTCGGAAAACTAGAACTTCAGTTAATATTATATAAACCCTACAGTACTGAAGAAGTTACAGGGCCTATTTAAGGTAGGATTAATCTTAAACCTGTATTTAAATTAAAATCTTCTGTTTTACTTGTGAAAAAGCTGTGGGAAGGTTTTTGGAGATCATAGCCCAAATCAGAACTTCAATAGCCCCTTGTATCATTTTAAATAACTATTTATGACCTTGAAAAAAATATATCTATAATCAACAAAACCTTCTTCTAGTTAAGTGACCGATGTAACAGAATTATTTTACTTCTAAGTTACTGGTCACAAGTAGCAACATGGGAAACTCTGACTAGAGATAAGAAATGTTTACAATGACAGTAGTTATGTATCAGAAGAGGCTAACCACAGAAGTTGTGGAATCTCTGTCCTTGAAGATTTTCAGAACTCATCTGGACAAGATGCTACACGACTTGATCTGCAATGATATTGCAGATATTATGATTCAACCTTTATTAACATTTAGCAAGTTACGCCCTTTAGATAGCCTTCATTCTTACTTTTTGTTGCAAGTTGCTCTTACCTAGAAGTTCTATAATTCCTGCATGAATATCGAGATCCTGAGTGGCAAGAAGGGAGCCCTTCTTTTGACTGTAATATTTAATTATAATGTCAAAAAGAATCTTCTTGTGAGCATTCAGATTGCTTGGTTTCTTATTGCTTTGAGGTAACTGCTGACTAACCGTCACTATGAATTGGTCTGGGAAATACTCCAAGCATTCAATTGCAGCATAGAGCCATTTGTCAAGCCTGCAGAAGGAAAAGTTAGTTTTAGTGCTTACTTTAAAATGCTCTGCCTAATGTAATTTCATCATTTAAAGACAATCAGATAGAAAGAACCATGCAGATACCACCACATATTTGAACTACAGCATTAACTTTGTTGCTTATTTGAACCACAGCATTAACTTTGTTGCTTATTAAGCAGTTTATGTAATTTCACTATAGTAGTTCAAGGACCTGCTCAAAACAAGTAGCCTTCACAGTTTTCCTGCACTACAGATAACGTGCCTGAGGTAAGTCCAGACCAAAAGAAAGCTGCAATCATGTAAGACTGTCACTGACCTTATGACATTTGTCAGATTCAGCTAGTATTTAAAACCAAACACCACCACTCCGCAACACACACCATGAAAACTCAGAGCTAATCCGAGTGTAAAAGCCAGAGACTGGTGCTTTTGAGAAGGAGAGAAATTAGACAATCACTCTGAAAGTAAGGACAATCAAAAAGAACTTAAACCCTAGAAGACTGTAGAATCCAACAATTCATTGGGGCTGGGGAGGAGGAAAGTTCAAAAGATTCTTACAAAACAAACAGTCCTACCACTCAGCTACTTATTGCAAGGTATGTTTGTAACACTAAGCCATGTAGAAAGTCACCTGATCTGGAGCCAACGGAAAACATTTTTCTAAAAAGTCCCCTAGCCAGGAATGAGCATGTATTTATCAAGAAAGCAGGTACAATAAGCAATGCTGTTATTTAGATAACAAGCTCGTGGAAAGCACTATGCAACATCACCCTAAAATGAAGAACCGGATACTTGAAATACTGATTCAAGACTATCAACATTCTGAGACACTTCTTCATAGCAGTCTGACAGGAATTTATTGCTGGTCAATGGTTTAACAGCTCTCTCCATCAGAGGTGATCAGTTACATCCAAGTGCATGATTTCTCAGGCTTACAGAAAAATTGCTTACTTGGGTGGGTTTTTCAGCTATACTGCAGTGTTCTCAGAAGTCAGTTTGTTAAGATAAGTTACTCTTAAGGTTAAACTTCAGGTGGTTGAACTGATCTAAGTTTCCCATGCAAAGAATGCAGTTAACTGTACTTTAGAAAAACTACAGTCCCCACACAAAGCTGTTTATATAACCTACTTCAAAGGCATCATTTTTCCTAAGCATCTGTTGCCTCTGTGCCTTAACTAGGGAGAGAACATGTAAGGGCAATATAAAATTCAGCTAGAAAACTCATTGTTCAAAGATGCAGGAGGGTCAGAGAGAGAGGGGAAAAAGTCACTAGCTCAGCTAATTTGTACAAAAGAAATCAAAAATCATAGAATCGGGGGGTGAGGAATTACTCTTATCTGACTCTTTGGATCTCTTATCTGACTCTTTGGATACAACATAACTTGAACTAAATCAAGAACTTGTGAGAAGATGAAAATACTATTTAAGATCTGCAGATCTCTTATTCCTGTCAGAGAGCAGAAACGTTTTGGAGTGGCTTCTGGACAGCTAGATAAACATGAACTTCAGCTGCAAATGCTGCAGCTAATAAGCATAAATCCTAGATGTGTAGGTGGGGTAATACAGTAAAGCAGAAATAAGAGGTTAATGGCCTCACTTTGGTTATGATGCGATTAGCACTGCAATCACACTGCATTTAGTTTTATCATCCGTAAGAGTTCTAAAGAGGAGATAAACTGGAAAACATCCTTGAAAGTTAAACATTCAAAAAGCAGTCTAGCTAGCTTTTGAAAGAGGAAGGGTAAGGAAGGGTAAAGCAGAATTTGATTACAGTTTGTAATTACCTACATAAAAGAGATATTTGATCACATCAAATGTAACAAGACCTTGTATCTGAAAGCTAAAGACAGAAAATTTAAGATAAAATTATGTATTTTTTCATTCTTTGATAGTGGGAGCAATTAACCCTAAATCAACTTGCAACACCAGTGATGATTCCTCAAACCTGGAATTTTTCAATTCTCAGGCACATTACAGTTTAGGCCTAAACAATGTATGGTCTACATAGATGCTATTCCAGCCACCCACTCAGCTCATCTGAACATAAATTAATGAAGTAAGTGTAAGTTTTCAAGGATTGAGACATAGACTGACTAGTATTTTTAGAACAATCCATTTGTTTCACTTTTTTCTTAAACCAATCCAATATATTAGCAAAAGAACCAAAAGTTAGAGACACTAAATACAGAACAGGAACTATATAGAAGAAATTGCAAGAGATGAAACCCACCAGTGACCCAAAAATCAAGTACAGTGGAAGTATGAAACTAGAAAGAAATAGTGTTCATAAAACCATTCTTGGAGACAAAGCAAAAACAAAACAAAATAGGAATTTAGAGCGTTATCCAACAATCAACCTGGTTTACCAAGCAGGAGCTCCACTAGCTTATATAAAACTCTAAAGACGTCTTAAAATATTAATATGTTCCCACTGAAGCAAGAATATATGAAAACTGTAACAGAGTTGTCTTTTTAGCACACAGATAGACCTCAACTTATTACAAATGACTAAAAATCAGATTGATTTGGCAGAAACGAACATTATTAGGACATACATGCATGAGGAGATACGCCTTGACATATTCAGTAAGACTACAAGCTAAAACAGAGGTCAGCTTAGGTGCAATTAACAGGAATACTACAAAAAATAAAAAGAACATTAAAAAACACTGACAGCATGCAGACATTTTCACTTTTATCTATCCTTCACATCATAAGCATCCTTCAGTGCTACAGCTTTGCTTCTTCTCGGCCATCAGTAAGAACAGGTGCCTTCTTGTTTTTACATCTTCACAGCACCAACACCAGGAAATGTGACTAAACCCCTTAGAGCCACCCTAACTATAAAGGCCCCTTAAAAAACAAGTCTCACAAACAGAACAAATCTGTTCAAACCTCTGGTATCTGTTATAGGGATCTAAGAGTGAAATACCTACTCTAGAAACTAGCAGCGTTTTCAACCCTTGTGACATCATTTTTGATGTACTTAAAATCCTCATACGTACAATCCCAGAGACATACCTTTTGCGATTCCCTTTACCAGTTTTGAGAAGGTAACATGGGAAAAAGCACGTTAACACCATCCTAGTTTAAGAATATGTAAGTTTAACAATATCTTATCTTGCTCACTTAACAGAGATCTTAAAGCAAGAGTGAAATAAAATGTTTGCTAATAAATCTCTTTTTTAGATGGGTAACTTACTCAGGCAAGTTTAGGCTACATGTAACTTCTCTGTCCAGGAAAGTGTTTGAGATAATCAGGTCTTCTTCTCTGCCAAAGAAGTCTGTTTTTCTCTTCACTGAAGATATGAAAATATTTTCTAGAACTGGAAGATCAATTAATTGCAGTAGTCGTAGCAGAGTTTGCTGTTTCCAGACATCATCTATTACTGACAAAAAAAAAAAAAAACCTTCAGAAATACCATCTTATGTAAAATACTAGCCGATGTTTCTACTCAATCAAAAAATCTTTTAAATGTTCAAAGAATATAAAGTAACAGCATAGTATAATGCAAACATAGGTTAAGTTTCTTAGTTGGGGAAGGAAGGGATCAAAATAGGGATACTAAGCAAGGCGGCTTTAAAGCGAGCGTGTCTCTTGTCCATCATGTTAGATGTAACTAACCTACTCTAGTATTTTAGCAAAATGTATAAAAAATGATGCAAGTGAATAGCAAAGGAACTGAATAATACAGACATATTTAAGAAAGGGGCAATTCAGTTTTACAAAAACATATCTTTTTGAAGTGGTATTTGCCATCCAACACAAACTTTCCACAGTCCTGCAAAGGGTTAATCCCATTTCATTTCTTTCAATTTATTTGCTATGCCCCTTTAGTAATTTGGCATTCACTTGGCTATTTTGTCAATAGTGTGACACCTTTTAAATTTAGGACTCAGAGGAGCAACCTTTAATGGAAATGATGTAAACGCCCCCAGTGAAGAGTTGCCATGGTTCTCAAATTTATCCACTACCTGCCTCGCCCATGCAAAACTCTTTAGAAAAAGCAGAAATTAAAAACACAAACTGGAGATTTGATTTCTTTCAGGATTAAGACCAGGACTAAGACTGAGGAAACTTAAGCTAGAAGATGAAAGCCCTAATTTGATATCCAAAACTATTTTCATTGTTTTGCACAGTTATGTTCTCCTAAAGGTAAAACTGGCCAGCAGCTATCAAAGCAATGATTTTTCAAAAATATACAAGCTATGCTCAATATACAACTTTTTTTGTTTGTAAGGACACATTATAACTATGCATCCTTCAACTATTAAGCAGACACACAGATTCAAGTGTTTATATTTTTACTTTGGAAAAAATAAAAGAGAACGATAGTGACTTGCATTAAGCTGCATTCAGTTGGAATGCAATTATATTCTAGGCACTGTATTTCAATAAGATGGTTCAATTAAATTTTTAGTTTAGTATTCCTGCACATGATGTCCTTCCAGTCCCTAGAATGAGCTGAAAAGCTCATTATGCTGAGAAGAATCTCTGCTAACAGAGCAAAACCACTGATTTTTGATTGAGACACTTGCAAATATGGGTCCCTGCATTATACATCAAAATCACTGCTGCATTACAACTAAGATTTAGCTTCTTTAACTTTAAGCACCCAGAATAAACGTTAAGTTCATAGACTAAATATGTTTATAAGAGCAGTATACAAAATAGAACACCATCAGCAAAACATACTGACATTCTTCATAGTAATCAAGTGTTATCGTTTAATCATTACAACTGTACAGACAATGCAAAGACTGCATGGGGAGATCATATCTTCTATTAGAGAAACTAGAAAAAACAAAACAAACTTTCAGAAAAAGAAAAAACAAAACATTTTCTGACTTTATCTTCTTTGTAAGATACTACAAAGGTCATCTAACATTCAGAACACCTGTTTTTATTGTTTGGTTTAAATAAATGGATATATCACAACAGTGCTACCAAAAGCTTTTTTTTTTTTTTTTTAAAAACAGTGTAGAACAAACAATTTAAAAAGAAAAATTCAACCCTCACCTCTTTTTGAAAGCAGTTGAGTTGGTTCATTAACCCTGATCTTTGGAGGTAAAGACAGATGAACATTTATTGATTGAAGTAGCTCCTCTATCTTCTTTTTATCAGCTGCTTCTAAGGCTAAGGGGTTTGAAAGGGTTGCTTCACACTTCATCCTGATACAGGAAAGAAAGGGATAAAAGGCATACAAATACAATCTGGACTCATGTATCTTTCTGTCAGTTTCCAAACTGCAAATAAATCAGAACACTCACTCTTAAGGCTACCTTGTACCTGGGATTTATCCCACCACCAGAAAAACAATCATCCACTTATACTTTGTGGAAAGGGGAAGGATATTGCCTCCAAATTCTGTTTATGGGCTTCATTTCACTTGGCAGCTTCTCACCAGCAGTCATACCAACTCTCAGATTTCAGAACAATCACACAGATTCCATGCGACAAAAGGAAGACATAGTACAAAAGAAAAAAATCAAAATTTTAGATCCTTAAGCCTTTCCAACGGTTATTTGGTCAAGACAGAAGACTGCACAAAGGCTTCCAATAGCCCACTTGCATTGCATTTTACATGCACTAACATTCACAGAATACAAGCGAATGCCAACTGTTAATATTTCAGCTGGGGATGCTGAGAAAGAATTAGAATAAAGGAGATCAGAATCAGAACAGGGTCAAAAAGATTCCTAGGCCTAGGCTACTGTGCTAGACTCCATTCTACATGATAAAGGGGTGGTCAATTTAGCATTACTATGAAACGCTAGGTAGCATCTGTGATTCATGCAAAATATTTTCCAAAACTGGCATGCAGCACTCGTTTTCAAAGGTCTCCAAAACCTGAGTTAGACATAAATTTCCAGAAAGTTACCCATCCTAACTTAAAAAATAAAAACAAGCAAAAAAAACCAAACACAAACACACAAACCAGAAAGTTCAGAATGTCTCACTTGGAATGTCTTTTTGTCTTCTGCCCATAAATTTGCTCAGGGGACAAGCTCTCATTATCTTTATTTGTTCTCAAAAGAAGAGGAGTAATATTGCTGTTCACAAATTTATAGAGACTACTGCTTGTGTCTTCAAACTCTGGTTCTTTTTCATTCCTGAATAGGTGAAGTTTTGCTCCAACTGGCTCAAACACCTTGTGATCCATCAGTGCTTGGCATACGCGGACACCCTTCAGCCGAGAAATATCATTACAGCTTAGGTACATGCTTTGCATAAGATGACTCAGTACTACATCAACAGCATGGGAGCCAGTAAAACAGTTTTTATATGTTTTTAGATGCTGTCTACGTCTTTTCATTTCCACCTGACTCTGAAGAGCATGAATAATACTATTCCACAACTGAGTTGCTTGAAAAGGACCAGCACAATCTGCAAAATATTTACATGAATGTTTTTTATAAATATGCATATAAAGATTCACTTTAACATTTAAGCATATTACTTTACTGCATGAAGTCAGTTCACAACATTCTCCAAAAAATCAACCCTAATTTTACAAAAACAGTAAGAGATACAAAGAGGACTGATTTATAGAGGGGTAAGTTGACTTCAGTCTGCTAGATAAGCACAGAGTCAACAGAAGAGAATTAGAGAGTGCTTAAAAGAAAAAAAAAAATAGTGAGGAAATTTTTTTTTGTTACTACCACATATTGCATTCTCAATACCATACCAAAGCATCAGCGTACTGCAGGTGTCAAAAGCTGGTACCAAAAGGGCTAGCACATTGCTTCAAGGGAAGTAAACTGATGCCTTCCCCAGACTGTTTCTCCTTCAGGTACCACTCTAAGCCCAGCAGATGATAAACTGACATACACAATAAATTAAACCTCTCTGTGCCCAAGTTTTCCTTTATTAGGAACGCAAGTTTAGACACAGCTCCAGCCTCAGCCCTAACAGCGAATTCCCCTTAACCATGACTTCTAGAGGTAAAGATGGAGGAACATTTGTTGGGCAAAGAAACTCTTCTGTTCTGTCCTCCTTATATCAGCCGCTTCCAGCCCCAGCTTCT